TTATTAGTAAAGCGTGCCAAGTTTTATTTATCAGAACCAGATCAGCGTATCAAGTGTACGTTTTGATGTTACATTTTGATTCTGTTAAATAAATGACTGCATTTATTCTGATGGGTCAAAGAAAATTAACGTCTCCTGTCACTGATTAAACAATACTCACAGTTATCTCGGTCACATGGCATTAATTTAACTCGAAAAAGAAAGAACCCGTTATATTTAAATAATTAATTAGTAGTGAAGGTACAGTGAAGCTGTCCCTTGACATACTACATTCAGTGGCCCGAACGTGTTTTGAATAACATAAATACTGGCCCGTGTGTCCACAGTTAAGCTGTACCCCACTTTTACTACACTGTGCTGCATATTTCTTCACATTTGCAGATTAATAATAATAACTAATAGTTTAGTTTTTCCTGTGACTTATTTGCAGTATGATAAATGGTAGGAGCATAATATACGCTCCCAATGTTTTGTTGGTCTTTTTTTGTAAATAATTACCTTTTTTTGCGGTTTTATTTATTTATTAATTTTTGTATCTTGAGATCTATGACGTCATCAAACACTCGAGTTCTACTCGGGTTTTATTATGTTAATGTCCAGTTTAAAAATTATATACTCGTTCAACCCCTTGCCACAAGGACTCATTTACAAGAGAGGCCGGTTAAGAAGTCGTAAGTGGCTGTTGTGTTTAAAGTTTGTGTTTATTTATTTAACCTTTATTTACGCAGATAAATTACATTGAGCCTCGAAGACTCATTTACAAGTGTGACTTGTTTAGACAGACAAAAAGTAAAAGTCACTTCACTTCCGGCAAGCTGATGGACGGCAGCTCCCTCTGGCTTTTCTGCAGTCTTTTATCATCAAACTGCCCCTTTTTTTGAACCGGACTAAAGTTGGTCCCCCTTCCAACCGAATTCGGTGTTCAGTGACTCAGAGAGCCAGATGGGACCGTCCAAAAATATATTTTGGTCCAGGACCGGCCGCTCCCACCCCACCGGTCACTCTGAGCGCACCCTGCCAGCCAGGTGACCCCTCGAGCTGGGGAGTCATCGCACGAAGGTCCTGTGTTTTTTCTCTCTCTCTTTGGACCCCAACAAACTTCTCATCTGGGCCTTTGTGGTTCTACCTGGTTCCGACAAGAATCGCCGGGTGGTATTTCGCTGGTTTTCTGCTGGACTGGCACTCGTGGTGTCTTCATTGGTGTGGTTGTAGTGTACCTGTGTCCCCCGAACTGAACCAGAACCAAACCGATTTGGCTGTGGGGGACTTCGCCTTTAACAGAGCCGGTCTCAGCTTCAGTGAGCAGCCCGTTACTTTTAATGAAGGACTGTCCACCTCTGTGGAATCGCTGTGTTTTGCCTGGAGGAGACACTCTGATGCTTTGAAGCGCCTCCGGAACCGGACCGGAGCAGAACCGGGCAGGGACAACTTCAGCCTCTTCGTCTCTCATGCTGTGGAGCGCTGGAGCCGGACTGGAGCAGAACAGGACTGGACCAGTGATGACTTCAGCCTCTCCGGTCAGTCTTGTAGTTTTCACCGGGGGTGCCTCTCGTGCTGTGGGGTGCAGAGGTGACGTGTAGAGAAGCGGAGGAGCAGCACTGGGTGGTGCTCGAGAGAAGTTCTGAGTTTGCATCAGAGTTGCTTCAGGCCTCAATCCAAACGCACCTGGATAATAATTATTTTTATTCCAGATCACGCTGTTGTCCTCTGTTAACCTGAAATGAGCTAGGACCATGCCTTTCATTTCAGGAGGATTTTCTGGCAGCTCGCTCTGCTATTTGCTGCAAATTATCTGTTTCTGCCTGTTGATTCTGGACCCAGGTCCCGTTTCTCATGGGGGCATCCATCCATCTTCACAGGGGGGGCGGAGCCCCCCTCAACCCTACTCAAACTGCAGTTGGGCCACCTCGTTGGGTTTGTTTGCCCATTTGATTTGTGACGCTTTACAGTCTGAGACTTTTCTGTACCATTCATATTATTGTCATTATTTTCAGATCTCAGACTATCTGGAGTAACTGAATCTTGTTAATACACCTGAATCTGCCCATCACTGCAACTTTCACTGT